TCATGTTATCACTGTGAAGCTGCTTTGATACAATCTGTATTGTAAAAAGCGCTATATAAATAAAGGTGACTTGACTTGACTGTACGTTTTTCATCTTCAAACCAAACTTGGCTCTTCAGCCGACAAAGTTTAAATCCCGTCTGGCAAGAGCTCTTCCCATAATGTTACGCATTAGGTCAGTAGGCCGAGAGTAGACGGTCTTTTGTGCCTGTTTGAACACATCCGACCACATGAGCGTTTACACTACGAAAGCAAATGCATTTTCGACTAGCCTACCTCTGGAAGTGGTCGAAAGCGGACAAGCTCAAAACGATTTAGCGTCGTCCACTTGTGATCAGATTGACGAAAACACTTCTTAATGCCAGAAAACAGGGCCAATGAAACGGCATCGAGTCAGAGATTTTTAAATTGTGGATGAAATGGGATGATAATCTGAATTAGCTGGTGAGAGCCATGTGCATGTCTCACAGCAGTGAACAGAAGCATACCGTGCCGAGGGCAGGAGGTTAAGGGTGGTGTTGAGCACATACGGCAGATCTGCATGTCCCTGTTCCACGAGAAGCACCAAAGCGTCACAGCAGGCCGAGCGGACGACAGTACTATCACTGCTGCACTGCTCCCACAGAGACTCCAGCGCTGGCCCCTGGTGACATACAACACAAGCTCAACATGCAAACCATTACACACCAGTCAATGTTAGTGATGTTGTAAAAGTGTATCATTAACTGTCTGGAAATACTAAAAAGCACATATTTCCTTTAAATGGAGACAAATTCCACGACATATTTACTTTGTAATAGAGATGCACCAATAATACATTTCTCTGCTGATACCCATTATTCAGAACGATATCTGCCGATACCGATAGTTGAAACAAAAACGCAACAGGGAAATGCCACAGGGAACCCTCTCATTGGGTCCATAACTATAATATTGGAGATTAAAATTAACAACAGAGCCCAAACTATTTATTTTCTGATATTTTCTGGTTGAAACACTGATTGAGAGATTACATGAGACATGATTAATTTCGGTAAGTTGTTCTGCATCTTTCCACATACCTTCTGATGTTCATGCATGTTTTTTCATGCTATAACTTATATTATTATATTAACTTATATTAAGTGGAAAAACAACGATCTGTCACGTCACATTTAAAAGCGTCAAAATTGAATTTTGTGAAAAAACGGACTGCATTTGAAAGCTGAGACGTTGTTTCTTATCAGAAGTAACAAAGCCCTTTGTGATTATTGGATGAAAGGCGAGCTTTTCAAGAGAAATTTTCTTCACACACAGTTTGAGTTGCAGTCTGACACATTTTTCGCCCCCTTTTGATTGACAGGTAATAATCTGCCCTGATCATCGGCTGTAATACTGCCCGATTACTGACCAATATAATTTTCCAAACTCAAAACTTTTTCCGTACTCACTAAGATTTTATTTAAATGTGATAAACACCAAAAAACAACAGCAGAAAAGTCCTTGTATTTCAGATATCCAAGATCCAACGCATCACAGCCCACCTTTACATGTCAACCACAGCTATTTAGCATTCAGCTTCTGGGCTTCAATGTCATGAATAAATTAGCGATGCACCGACATTTTGTCAATTTTATAATGAAATTCAAACAATAAATGTCAGATCGCTGTTGCGGCCTCAGTTCAAGCTGCCTGAAACCATCATCTCTTTCTCTTTACAACTATAGCACAACCTAAAAATGATTGAATCAGAAAGTATGTTTAAAGAAACTGAAATGTATCAGGTCTCAAAAAAAAAAGCTTCAACCCTGGAAAGATGTCAATAAAACAACTTGTAAACACTGTCACGTAATGTTACATTTGCCTCAGGAAAGACATTCTATATCCATATAACTCGTTAGTACGCTAGAAAACTATAACTGGAGGAGCATTTTGCTCAATAAATGCACTATTACCTTACCTATTGTCTTCATTGTTTAATAAAAAATGTCTCTTTGGCAGCCTGTCTGAAAGTCCTGTCCTTAAAGGGATACTCCACTTTTTTTGTAAATAGGCTCATTTTACAACTCCCGCAGAGTTAAACTGTTGAGTTTTACCGTTTTTGAATCCATTCAGCCGATCTCCGGTTCTGGCGGTACCACTTTTAGCATAGCTTAGCATACATCATTGAAGTGGACAAGACCATTAGCATTTCTAAAGAAAAATGACCAAAGAGTTTTGATATTTTTCCTATTTAAAATTTGACTCTTCTGTAGTTACATCGTGCACTAAGACCGACGGAAAATGTAAAGTTGCGATTTTCTAGGCTGATATGGCTTGGAACTATACTCTCATTCCTGCGTAGTAATCAAGAAACTTCACTGCCGTACCATGAGTGCAGCAGGCGTAATGATATGACGCAGCGCCTGAAAATAGGCCACCTTTTGCAACACAACGGAACTATTTTCAGGCGCTGCGTCATATCATTACGCCTGCTGCTCTCATGGTACGGCAGTGAAGGTTCTTGATTATTACGCAGGAATGAGAGTATAGTTCCTAGCCATATCAGCCTAGAAAATCGCAACTTTACATTTTCCGTCGGTCTTAGTGCACAATGTAACTACAGAAGAGTCAAGTTTTAAATAGGAAAAATATCAAAACTCTTTGGTCATTTTTTTTTGAGAAATGCTAATGGTCTTGTCCACTTCAATGATGTATGCTAAGCTATGCTAAAAGTGGTACCGCCAGAACCGGAGATCGGCTGAATGGATTCAAAAACAGTAAAACTCAACAGTTTAACTCTGGGGGAGTTGTAAAATGAGCCTATTTCCAAAAAAAGTGGAGTATCCCTTTAAAGGGATAGTTCATTTACTTACCCTCATGTTTCTTTCTTCCGTTGAACACAAAAGAAGATATTTTAAAGAATGTTGGTAATCAAACAGTTGATGGACCCCATTGACTTCCATAGTAGGAAAAAAAAAACATGTGATCAATGGCTTCGTCAACTGTTTGGTTACCAACATTCTTTAAAATATCTTGTTTTGTGTTCAACAGAAGAAAGAAACTCATACAGGTTTAGAACAACATGAGGGAGAGTAAATGATGACAGAATTTTTATTTTTGGGTGAACTCTCCCTTTAGGAAGCAGCTACATACACAAACAAATGCATGTTTTGAATGACTGGACAAAGCACTCTTACTTATTGTATGTAAAGTGGGAATAGACATAGAAGTCTTAAATGTGTCCTAAGTGTGATGTGATATGTCCCTTATATGACGACTTACTTTAGTGGTAGTCTGACAAATCCTTTCATTTTGGCCTTTCTCTTTCAACACTGCAGTGACCAGCGTCCTCACAGCCTAGAATTAAAAAGCCAAAATGCAACAAATCTGGTTCTTCACATGCCTTCAGCAAACTAGATTTGATCGAAATTAAACTTTCACAGGAATGGATTTCTACAAGCCAGACACGTTTGGCAGGAAAGATTCAAATTTCATTGAAATTACTGTAGAACCCACGTTCCCACGTTGTACCTCTAAATACTTAAATCATCTGTCTTTTCTGAGTGCTTTACCTGAGCTTGAATGAGGGAGCTGGGGAACTCAAACCTTGTCTTCAAAGTTTCAGTCATCTCCAGAAATCACGAATGATGCCCCATTCTAAAAGCAAACATCATATGGAAAATGTCATTTAGTCACCATAAAAAGGCATTCACAGCCAATTATACTTGCAAAATTGTCATAGTTTTTAGTAAAACGGGACATTTAATGACCAAAAAAATATAGTACTTGATTTCATCTAATGGTATTTGATTGGATATTGGAACAAACAATAGTTTCTAGATGGCAGGATGGAGAGGAGGTGTTGAAAAGTAAAAGGGGCCGATGACGTTAGTTGTAAAGAAAACAAATTATCACATTAATAATAAATTAGGAAGCCAAACATTTCTTTTCGATGTCCGATGAATGGTGTACAAGTTCAGGAATGTACATTATGCTGCTACACTAGACAAAAGTTTGGGGTTGGTAAGACTTTTTAGTGTTCTTGTGAAAAAAAAACAGTAATATTGTGCAATATTTTAAAATGATTGTTTTCTAATTTAATAAGTAATTTATTCATGTGATGCAAAGCTGAATTTTCAGCATCATTACTCCGGTCTTCAGTGTCACATGATCCTTCAGAAATCACTCTAATATGCTGATTTGCTGCTCAAGAAACATTTAGCCTATTATTATCAATGTTGAAAACAGATGCACCCAAAAATGAAAATTCTGTCATCATGTCATTCCAAATAATGCAAAAAATTAATATATTTTTCAGGTTTCTTTGATGAATAGAAAGTTAAAAAGAACAGGAATCTTGTTTTAAAACATTATGAATCCATTTACTGTGCCCTTTGACCAAATTAATGCATTCTTTCCGAATAATAATATTAATTTCTTTCAAAATAAAAATAATCTTTATGTCCCCAAACTTTTGAATGGTAGTGTAAACTAAAACAAACTTTTGACTTCTTATTGAATTTAAAAGTCAAATTGGGAAGGAACAGAATTTCTTAAACGTGTGGAATGCAACATCGTGAGAAATGAAGTCATGGGATATTCAGAATCAACCCTCATTTCCTGAAATGAAGAAATTAACATGCAAACTGACATCATCTGTTAAAAAAAAAAAAAAAAAAAAAAAAAACAGCACAGCTGTGTATCTTCATCCTCACTCAGATCACAGGTGTCAAGGGATCAAACAGGTGCAACGGGACAAAAACCGCCTTCAGGGCAATACTATTAGACTGAAATTAGAATAACCCAACACCACTTCAAACTAACGTAATCTAAGGTGAAATTAAATAAAGGGGCTGAGACATATAGTCTGCCTGCATCTAAACTCAGAAGATACAACCATCTGACAGATGGCACTGGCGACCACATCAATGGGATGCATTATTCACAAGTGACTTCTGCCAAAGCTTCAATGTCCGTCCAGTTGCGGACCACCGACTTTGGCGTCTCATATGTTGTCTCGTATGGACTCTCGGCGTAGGGTAATGGGATTACCAGCCGTTCATTTGACTGACACTGGCTGATGGCCACTGCAGATTCAGGTTTATGCCACAGCACATGGGAGAAAGAGACAATGCAAGCCCTAAAATACTGCCCCTCCCCTCGTGGGACTGTTATCTGACAAGCACTGCGTGTGCGTGATGAAATACCTGCTGCGTTTCCATAAAGAGTGACAGTACAGAAGCTCTACTGACAGCAAAGAGTGGCTCGGGCAAATCAGGTAAGATTTGAAATTCATTGACTCAAGTCTGTTTATGGCTAAAGTATACAAGTCAGAAGTGCTCTTTTATTACAATAAAAGTGGATTTTTATGTTGTTGTAGATTGCAACTGAGTAATATTTTAGAGACAAAATCAAAATATCTCTCCACATTAGTTTAAGCTTCTTACTGTAGTTTCAGAGTTATTTGCATTCAGTAATGACAGATGATAAACAATGCATCGAGAAAATGCCACAAAAAAAGTTACAAAACTATTTTTAGTCATGTTTGACTAGTATTTTAAAATGGTCATCTTTTTTGTAGGTATGGTTTGTATATAAATGTCGGCAAACTAGTTGGTTGTTTTTATCTGATCAATATTACACGCAAGCTTTTGTCAGCAAAGCAAATAATTAAAAATATTCCAGTTATTTCCAGCCTTTGGCTACTTGTCCAAATGCACAAAGGCTTCAGCTCGGGACTGCTTGCTCTGCACTTGCTTGTGTGTCCACAATAATGCATCATTGTGTAAGTGATGCTGTGTTTAAGTCACTGGCTAGACTACAATATGTCCGTTTTCAAATGATACCATGGTACTACAACAATGGACATGTATCACAGTAATACCACGTACTAAGGGTGTTTTTCGAATTACATTTGAGCGCCATGTAAACACCATTTTACATGAATAAAGCAATCATTCATAGTACCACCACCACAGTGCTTTGTATAAGGTTAGCCCACTGCGGATATTTATTTAGATCCGAATTTGTGTGATGAAATATTGTAATTAAATTACAAATATGTAACTTGTTAAGCAATGGAAGAAACGTTCCTGTTTGTATATTGCTGTAATACAGGAAAGCCCGCTGCCTAGTACCTAGCAGCTGTCAGTTTCACTACATTTTTCCATAACTGTGTTAACAAAGTTGGCATCACATAAACAAGCAGGCTGATGTGATATACGTGATGTTCTTACCCAGAGAACTCCTATATTCCAGTGAGGTTTAGATGCACTTTGCTAACTTTTTTGTGAAACCCTCCAAGCGCCGCCAACATGCTTCTACAGTGCGCGCGGAGGACCAAACTTAATAAAGGCGTTACGTTAATGTCACTGTAATTATTTTAACTGCAAATGCATGGCTTTTTTCTCTGTTAGGTACATTATGGAACTCGCAGATTTAAAGTACAATTCTAATACTTTTCTTACATTCATTGATGTCTTTCTTAAAAGAAAAAAAAAATCAAATGTCAGAACATTTTATGTCAATATTTATTTTAAAATATAGGCTATACATGACCTGTATATGTCATATCTTACAGACAGGTGTTTAAACGTGGACTTTTGGTCTATAGCCTATTTATTTTCCCAGTAAATAATAAAGAAAATGTCGTTTACAGAGATCAAGACACATTAAGTAGAATAGACTACATGTGACTGTATAATTTACATATTGTATTATATTATATTTAGTGCTGTCAAATCGATTAATCACGATTAATCTACGCATCTAACAAAAGTTATTATCTACATAATATGTGTGTGTATGTATTATTATATCTATGTATATTATATACATATATATGCCTCTGTGTGTAGCATATACTGTATACACACACACACACACACATATATATATATATATATCTCACACACACAATATAAATATAATAATACACACACACACATATTATGTAAACAAAAACTTTATGAATGTGATTAATCGCAATTAATCACTGATTAAGCACTAATTATACTATATATTATATTAATTATATTATATTATATTGTTGATCATACCATATTGCTGATTATTAATTTATAATAAAAAAACTATATACATTTTCTCCCTACATTTTAGCAATTTATTTTACTAAAATCATTTAACCATTGTCTTTTTTTACAGTAAAACTACATGTCTTTTAATTTATAATATCATTTTGACTAAATATTATAAAATAACAGTTAATAAATTAAAAGGTGTTTACGAAGCATTTTTACTTCTTTTTTTAAAATGCACTCAGTGTGAAACAAGAACAGTGTAAACCAGTAGGGCAAATTAAATTATACTACTTTATATAATGTCAGTCACTCACATTTTATTGAAAAACTAACTGGGTATTACTTACAACAACATACATATTTAAACAGTGGAAAAGCACAATATACGAGCATAGCCTACACACAATATATAAAATATAGATACATGTAACATGGTTAATACAGAGCAAGTAATAAATAACTGTTGTTGAGCAGTGAAAACGTGGATTTACACGGGTTAATAGTGGCACTTCACTCGCTCGCGCTGCCATTGGCTCGTCTCGCGCACCGCACCGACTGCGACTCGAGAGCACGCGCTGACACTCACGCGCATGCGTCTCACTTTACTCCTCAGCCTTTGAAAACTCAGAGAGCTCAATTAAAAGACCATGTCCGCCATCGGGCGTCTACAGTCCTCGGTGTCCTTATTTAAACCAAATTCTCCATGAAATAGCATTACCCCGTGGCCTCAGCAATGGCCAGTTCGGTGAGTAGGGCTTTACCTGTTATATCGGTGCGGTGTTTTGGACCTCCAGTGCCTCTGTTCGTTTTCGTCCGGTTTGGAAAGGCGATTAGACGCGTATGAGGCTTTTCCAGACATATTTCCATCGGAATACTGAAGTACAGAAGAACTAGTGGAGTCGTGCGTTTCCAGTGTATTAGTGCATGTCTGCAAAAGTGATGCGCTTGAAAGATTTCAAACAAAAGGAGGGCATTCAATTACAAATATTCAGTCCTGTGTTTCTATCATTCATTTTGGTATGTTAAGGTTAAATAACATACCAGAAACTTATGAATCGACCATTATTTTGCTTTACCTTTATGCGGCTATTGAGTGGTTTTAACACGCACGCGCTCAGACTGTTCCTTTTATACTTAATAATTGGCGACATCATTATAAAGTGAACATTTGGGTGTTTTAGGGTGCCGTTCAGGTGAAGCTGGAACTCGGTCATCGTGCCCAGGTCCGAAAGAAACCCACCGTGGAAGGTTTTACGCACGACTGGATGGTGTTTGTCCGCGGACCAGAGCACAGCAACATTCAGCATTTTGTGGAGAAAGTCGTGTTTCATCTTCACGAAAGTTTCCCGAAACCAAAAAGAGGTATGTGAAGCGGTTTATTATAATTTGTGGATTCTGTTGAAAAGAAAGGCAGAAAGGTGTGTGTGATCCAGACTGAATGCACCTTGATGCATGCAGAGATTGTCTGCTGGTCTACTGGAGCGCTGCAGGGACAAAAAGTGCTAGATATCAGGGATGCGTAAATAAGTATTTTTAGCAATAAATATTTTGCGTTCATGTGTTTACTTGAACAATTGTGAATTTGTTTGTTTGTCTTTTTCTGATACCATTGACAACACGCAGTAATGATTGCGCGACTACTTCTAAAAAGTTTCCAGATAAATGCGCTACACTCTTAGAAAATAATGGTTCTTTATTGGCATTGATGGTTCCATTTAGAACCTTTAACATCCATGGAACCTTTCCATTGTACAAAAGGTTCTTTATAGTGGGAAAAAGTTTATTTTAAGATTATTAAAATGTTCCTCTCAGTAAGAAAAACATGGTTATTTTAAAAACTGTTCACTGAAAGGTTATTTTGGGTAACCAAATATGGTCCTTCTATGGCATCGCTGCAAAAACCCCTTTGGAACCTTTATTTTTAAGAGTGTAGAATTATAACTAAATTCGATCCTTTGGTTAGCGGACTTGTATATTGTATCCTTGTGGAAATTTAAGGGTTTGCTCATCTCTGACAGTGTATGTATCATTTAGAAGAACACGTTCAGCCTCAGTTTTTAAATGAACATTTTGTTCAGAGAAAACTGAATAAAATGTTGTTGTTTTTTGTCCCATCTTAATAAAAATGAGACCCAAATCCATATATTCAAATTTGTATTCCCTAGTCCATTGCCGCACTACACCCTCATTCATTTTAAACATTTCCATAAAATGGTATACAGGTAATAATAATGTAGTCCTACACACTCTCCCATACTGTGCTGTCTTTGTGGGTCCTGCATGGACCCTCCCCGTCTGGTCAGACATGGTATTTCTTGATTGTCAAACATGCAGATATTTGTCCAACATGAGAACCTACCAATTCAGATACTTACCAGTTATGTCTTTTAAGTTTATTAAACTGTTACCTCCAAACGGTTTTTTTTCTTATGATTTCTACAATCACCTCATGTATTGGTGGTCATGTATGAAAGTGATTTCAACCCCTGTAACTCACAACGACAGAGAGAGAGAGAGAGAACATTTCCATAAAATGGTATACAGGTAATAATAATGTAGTCCTACACACTCTCCCATACTGTGCTGTCTTTGTGGGTCCTGCATGGACCCTCCCCGTCTGGTCAGACATGGTATTTCTTGATTGTCAAACATGCAGATATTTGTCCAACATGAGAACCTACCAATTCAGATATTACCAGTTATGTCTTTTAAGTTTATTAAACTGTTACCTCAAACGGTTTTTTATGGTCTTATGATTTCTACAATCACCTCATGTATTGGTGGTCATGTATGAAAGTGATTTCAACCCTGTAACTCACAACGAGAGAGAGAGAGAGAGAGAACATTTCCATAAAATGGTATACAGGTAATAATAATGTAGTCCTACACACTCTCCCATACTGTGCTGTCTTTGTGGGTCCTGCATGGACCCTCCCCGTCTGGTCAGACATGGTATTTCTTGATTGTCAAACATGCAGATATTTGTCCAACATGAGAACCTACCAATTCAGATATTACCAGTTATGTCTTTTAAGTTTATTAAACTGTTACCTCCAAACGGTTTTTTATGGTCTTATGATTTCTACAATCACCTCATGTATTGGTGGTCATGTATGAAAGTGATTTCAACCCCTGTAACTCACAACGAGAGAGAGAGAGAGAGAGAGAGAGAGAGAGAGAGAGAGAGAGAGAGAGAGAGAGAGAGAGAGAGAGAGAGAGAGAGAGAGAGAGAGAGAGAGAAGAGAGAGAGAGAGAGAGAGAGAGAGAGAGAGAGAGAGAGAGAGAGAGAGAGAGAGAGAGAGAGAGAGAGAGAGAGAGAGAGAGAGAGAGAGAGAGAGAGAGAGAGATGAGAGAGAGAGAGAGAGAGAGAGTGAGAGAGAGAGAGAGAGAGAATATGAAAGAAAGCGTCTGGTGGTCTGAAAGGAGGAATGTAGGAGTAGCGGTTGATGAAAGCCTTGGAAGGAATTAATTAAAATATTTGCTGGTTTCCTCTCCTTGCCCGAAGTGTTTAATCTGAGTTTTCTGTGACGTGGTAAGTGCTGGAGAAAGTCACTGTCATTACACCCCATTCAGATCGCATGTGAGCATTTGCACTTTATTAAGAACAGTTGTTAGATCTTCTTTGTTCCAGCCAACCATTTCCCCCCTATTGCAATGGGGTGCTTTTTGCACAAATTGTGCGTACATGTTGTTATCACAAAGATAAATGGATGTTTCATGCACGTCACAAAAATATACCTTCGCGTGCAGGGTTTGCCATTAACTTTTGCTTTTCCAAAGTTACTAGCCACTTTACATTTTCACTAGCCACAATTTTGACATTGATGCCGTGCTATATAGGTATTTTTAATATCTCATAATTTGGCAGCAGGTTTATTAGGCTGCTGTCACTTTAAGACCTGACGCACGGATCATTATACTGTTACACGTTCGTTTTCTTTCACAACTGTTGACCTTCACTTAAAACATAACTGACTGTGTTTACGTGAAAACTACTCACCAAGACCGGCATTTTGACATTATTTTGTGTGCATTTGACTGTTTAAGCGCAATAAGCAGCGAAAAATAACTCAATTTAGTACTGAGAGGCGGCTTTATGTGCGACACTTTGGGTGTGAGCAAAACATCTACAGGAATGAGTAAAATTATGCGCACTGCCACGCCAAAATTCAAACCCTGTAACACCAACAATATTAATCCGGAGCAAATGAAACAAGTGAGAAACAAGAAATGAAACAAGAAAAATCTATGCCTTTTTAAAAGACTACAATTGAAAAATGTATATATTATATATAAAATTCAACCCGGTCGGCGGGTGTTAATGTCAACCCCCGGTCGCACGCATTCTCGCACGACACAACTGTACCGTGGCTAAATTGTTCTGATTTAACATTTTGAAGCTTTCTAAGACCGTTTTATTGCTGTGGTGGGAAATCAAGCCACAAAGATTGTAAAATTGCAGAGAAGGACTTAAGTTGCTTCTGTGGACAGCTAAAGATGCATGGCTTCAAACGTATGCTAATATTTCCCTCATTCCTTTGCGTTATAGGGTTCATATTATGTCCACCGCCGCAGGTTTGATTTATGCCACAGAGTTGTTGTTTACTTAGGCTCTGAAGGGGATGTGTGCTTCAGATCAGCTCTCAGGGTCTATGCGTGCGGTGAAATCTCCCCCGCTATATTTATTTTCTCAAAACATTAAAACCGACTGTTAATCAAGGGCTGGACCTAATTTGGAAACTACTGGAAATCATGCTCCTGAAGCTCTTCGATGACAAGAGCTACACTAAATGTGGGTTTGCTTGAACTTCTAGCCCCTCTCCTCTTTGCTTTGGCAAATGTCTTCCAGGGGCTGCTGAAATGAAATGCAAAAGCAGCAGGGGGATACTTAACCTCTAATAAATCCTGCCTTATGACACCAGCTTTTCGAGACCCTACCAAACACCACCTTCGAAGTATACCTAAAATGTTTTTGCGCTGTGATGAATTAGTAGTCTAAGTACTTCCTGAGGTCTGCAGCTTTGTGTATAATGGAACCGACAAAGTGTTTGCTTCAGAATGAACTCGGGGAAGAGGGTTTAAATCACTTAAGTTAATGTAGATAGATGTACATACTTCATGTTAATGATGCTTGGAACAGGATTTCCCTTGAAATTTGAATGTCGAATGACTACTTTTGTGAAATTCTGGTCCTAATTAGACCCAAAACAGTGAATAAACACTTTGAATATTTACATTTTCTTCAACGCCGTGAAAAATAGACGTCAGCAAACACCCCATGTGGCCTTCTGCGTACTCGGAAGATAATTCACAACAGGACTCTCCGTGGAGGGGATGGATACAGAAACCTGCTTTCTTAGACTTAGAATTTATGGTGCGCTTGTAAGGTAAACAGTCAGGCTTATTATTTGGGGTCCCGGGAGGCTACGCCACCCCCTTCTCCCCCCCGCCTCTCCCTCCTCAGGGCTTTGATCAGTGTTAGCTGGTGTCGAGACGAGCCGAGGGGAAGTTAGAGGGAAACCTTGCACACAGACGGGCTTGTGTTTGACAGTTTAATACCAACAGTCTCACCATACTGCCCCGAAAGGAACAGCTGCTCACACACTCGCTGAGTTCGCCAAAACTCTTTACTCTAGTAGAGGCAGTAAGTCCCTTTTCTCTCTCACCTTTGTTTTGTGTTTGAAGCCTCAGTAGTATTCGACGTTACCCCTTTCACAGCTGTTGTGGATTACACATGTTGCCTCCCTGTCTCTCACGGGGTTATGTGCTTCCTTGTGCCTTTCTCACAGGTAGTCAGTAAGTCATTTGAAAAGTATCCACCTTCATTCATAGATGTCGCTGGACAAAAAGCCTTTGTTAGTTCACCCAAAAAAAGAAGATTCTGTCATCATTTAACTTGTTCACACTTGTATTTCGGTTCGCTTGGTTTAAAAAATCTAGTCCTTGTCCGCTTCGTGTTCACATTTGGCATTTTAACGCCAAACCTAAAGTTAAAGGCATTGAGATGTTCACAACCTGTTTAATTAAATTACGCATGTTTCACGTATGTTTTGCGTCTGAACTTACCGAACATCCAAAACAATGCTGTGTGTGTTGGGATGAATGCGCTCGCTCTATGTGCGTAGCCTATAGGCCTATGTGACGGTATTTTGACCAGCTGACAACTCGAAGAGCTTAAAAAATGTGTGAAAACAGCAGCAGGAATCCCTCCGTCACACACAAACGAAGATCTGCTGCTAGGAGACGTGGTTCTTATGCCTGTCCCGAACTGTGATGGGCAACATCGCAACTATGACGAGTAAAAAATCGACTTGAGCATTCGGGTTGCATCTTGTGACATTGCGTCCTGTTTTTGGTTCGTT